ACAGTAAAATGTTTTTCGAGGAAATCACTGGCAAGGGTAAGCCGCTCGTGGTTTCTTCGGTGCAGGCGTGAAAATTGACCAAGACCAGTATTCAAACGGCGGACTAATGGAAGTAAATAAAACATTGATCCGACTACGTTTTCTGAAACATCTCATAGTCCTTCCAGCAGGACGCTACTCCAGCCCACAGAGCCAAGTTTGCCCGCGAGTGGTGCCGACGACAGCTGCCCGACTTCATTGGTGAAGAAGAATGGTCATCCTATTTTCCAGAACTTGACTCACTTGAACCCCACGAATGGTCCCTGATTAGAAGAGGACCTGTCGAGTTTGCAGTTCCAGTTTGAAATCCTAGAATGCAAAAGTTGGAGGACGGCTGGGAAGAAATGGAGAAAGATACCTGCGTGCCACATGCGATCAAGTCGAAGGCAAACTTTGACTTCTATTCGCGCTCACGGGGGATATTTTGAAATGCGACTTTAGCATGTGGTAGCCCATAGTGTTAGCTAGCGTGCATAGAAATTTCATCGTCTTTCGCAGTTGAGAAGTTTCAAATATATTGCTATAAATCGGCGCAAATAATTTTGGGACACCCTGTACATGCTGCCCTTGAAAGCTATCCCTCCCTAACTTGGAAATCCTAAAGGCTTTCAGTTGTAGAATTAGTTGGTATACAGAGACCTGCTCACCTCACTAAATGTGGCACTCCCAGTGGAATACCGATATGATGTCCTGACAGTTTTTTCTTTGCAATACATTTGGAGTTTCTGAAATAGTTTTATCCATTTCTCATACTGAAATCCTAATTAATGAATTGGAAAAAAAATTGCCCGATTCGTTACTACCGAGCATAAATTCAATTCAAATAATAAAATTATATAAAAGATTCAGTGAAAAACTGACCGATTCGTAAACAACATTTCGCATTTATAGGTAATCAGTCGTACCAGGCAAAAGACCATAAATAGGAAAATCGACTGACGTTGATAAAAACATTCTTCGTACGAATCAGTTGAACTAAATCACTTAACACCTTCACTATGATTTGGATCAGAAGTTTCAAATGAGATTCTCAACTTAATCGAAAATCTACATTTTGTAAAAATCACTAGATTATTCTCTTGGTAATTATATTCGTTCATAGGTCTGATGGATGGGTGGAAACATAGGCCTACTGCAATACCTTTTTCAAAACACGAGTCGGATTTGATTTCTACTCATGAGGTTTCGATAGAATTGAGATTTCACTTAAAAATGAGTGTCTGTAGACTAATGATTGCGATACGGAGTAATACTCCAGTAATCAGTAGGAGAAATATAAGAGGTGAAATGTTCACAGCGGTCAGGAATGTATTTCCCAGTGCCTATTGTCTTAGGGGAGCTAAATGTCCAATTCGCTTTCAGTTAGAGTCTTTTGGGACCCTCCACCAAATTTCTTTTACCAGCAACCATGGCAGTAAACATAAACTCTACAATATTTGTACGGATTTCAGTCAAGTGAGGTCACACTTGGAAGATTCCACAAGTGCATACTTTGTGATAGTTTCAGACAATCTTAACGATATCTGTCTAATTAAATAAACGAATATTTCTGGCCAAATTCTCACTTCAAGGAAAAGCAGGAATTTCGAATTTGTTGTTCGGAACATACATTCACAAGACCCGTTGAAATGAAGAGAATGATGCACAGCAATGTCAAGGAGAGCCATCGGAATGCACGACGAATTTTAGTGTAGGAAGGCATGCTGTTTTGCCTGCTTCAACTGTAAATACAGACACGAGATCCGGGAATTAAGATATTCACCATGTAAACGCATTAAGGAAACGGATGGTGTAGAGGAAACAAACAGCCCGGATGAAGTCAAGAAATAGACATGGTTTTTCTACTCTAAATACATGTTGAAATCGTAAAAAAAAGACTAATTGTGAGTAGAGCGTTCATTAGACTGGTTCATGAGATGGAACTGGACAGTAATACTGGGAAAGACTTACCTTAGATGTCAGGTACAGTTTCCACTTGAAGGGCTTCCAGTATTCTATCTTTACAGTTTACCTTTGCCAGAGGTGGTGCAGTGGCAAGTGAGGTATCATTTCACACGCTCGATCACGGGTTCGAATCCCGGGTTGATATCCGTCTAGGCCAATCAAGGGTTTCGTTCATCCGGAATCGGTACCAGACACGTGGGGAGGATGAAAGCACCACTTGGACATCGGCTGGCCACAGCAAGTCATGGTATAGGCCACGTACGCATTCAGTACGTCCCGACGTGCTGAATGCGTATGGAAGTCCAATGCGGCACGCATTNCTCAGACGGGATTGAACGACATCCTATGACTTTATCCTTTTTTCCTCAACGGTTTACCTTGGCTGGTATATGGTCTTATGGTTAGTAGGGTAAAGTGCTAATTCAAAAGCAATTCTTGAAACTCTAAAGATATTATATTCATGTCACTAAATGGAATTAGGCGCACGAGATCTAACAATTTCAGAAAAATATCAGTGAACATCGGCGTTGAAGTTTATCAGAATTAGTTCTGTGCATGTGCAGGGTGTAGGAGCCGGCATGAATTATCTTTGCTCGGAGGACAGGGAGTCCAGTTTCATACATAGTTTTTACACATTTGACGATGACACCCCCTTATTAATGCTAGGGTAAATCGCACCTATGCCTTTGAATTCAACCTTTTTTCAAAAATTAGCAAGGGCCTTACGACTAGAAGGAAGAGCATTTCGACGTTGAATCCGTGGAATGATTACTGGCTAGAGGAGCTTCACTCGAATCGCATAACGTGATGAAAAGGATAGTGATTCACTAAAGAAAGGCATGGAAAGGATGTTATCGGGGGAGCAATTGAGTTGAACACATTCAACTGCTATGTCAGCGTAAACCTCAAACGAACCACAAAAAGCTAAGCTTGAAATTCGATTACGGAAGCCGATGGGATCCATTGTATCAAATGAAGTTAGGTTATGGCTTGATGTCTTGAACCTTGGCAGAGATGCTGGGATTTCACTTGACATTACGGAGACGGTAAGATGGTCAGGCAAGATCCTCAGAAGTCAAAATAGAACAGGTTTAGAATGAAAGAACTGCTCTGGACCACGTTTAGATGCTTGAAGATTACATAGAGTTTTTACCGTCAGGAGGTTTGCGAATGCCCAAATAGGAAAGTAATCAGAATGATAGTGCAGATTTCCATGTTGATTTTGAATACTCTCCTTCACTTCAGATAGAGATTCCTTCAGAGGATTTACTGGGATTTCACTACGTTCTACTATGAGTCATTGAGTCGGCTTAATACATATATGTAGTGCTGCTGATACTACAGTCCACCCTACTGTGAGACTATACGGATACATGAATTAACTGCAGTAAAGGAATGCCATCATACACAATACCATATGATATCATAAATTATTGCGTCGTGTAATGGCTGCTGATTCACTTGCGATGATGCAGCCGCGGTTTCTATGTGCTTTTGTTGACCAAATTTCAATTTGTTTAGAGAAACTCCTCATTTTTNAGGATTTACTGGGATTTCACTACGTTCTACTATGAGTCATTGAGTCAGCTTAATACATATATGTAGTGCTGCTGATACTACAGTCCATCCTACTGTAAGACTATACGGATACATGAATTAACTGCAGTAAAGGAATGTCATCATACACAATACCATATGATATCATAAATTATTGCGTTGTGTAATGGCTGCTGATTCACTTGCGATGATGCAGCCGCGGTTTCTATGTGCTTTTGTTGACCAAATTTCAATTTGTTTAGAGAAACTCCTCAATTTTTCGAATTATTCCTGTCCTGTATTCAATTAGTGGTACCCCTGTGGTACAAGGAACAGTGCAGCCAAGGGGCAGAGAGTAAAATGTGGAAGTGAAAAGTTACTTTAAAAGTTTGCTTCGCCGAAATTGCCTTCATCATCTCAAGTATAAAAGTTCAATTCGATTGATATATATCTACTTTCTCTATTGAATTTTTCAACATAAATTCTATTTGTATATAGAAAACGCAACACTCCATGTTTATACTTTTGGTAGTAGTGCTAATCTTGGCATTATTTTTATATTCTCCAGGACAAGGATCTCATGCGATTTCCATTGCAAAAAAGGAATTCGACTAGAGCAATAGCGTGTGCTGGAACTCATATAAAAAAATTCTTTTTTTTTGTGAAGCACATCTTGTGCGAGCCTCCAACCTAACTTGAGACGTATTTGAACGGTTGTTCCAGTTCCATGAATTTCGAATAGGAGTTTGGTAAGATGAGTGAGTAACTCCGTCTAGAAGCCCAGTAGAACGAGCAGAGCGTCATGAGGACATTCAAAGACTTTCACGAAGTATTGACGAATACAAAGAATGTCCGGCTTTGTGAGAAATTCTTTGGTTCTAGATTAAACAGAAGCCTTGGAAAGTTGGATTACACATAAGTAAGGTGAAAAAAAAACTTAGTGAGCATTATCGTAGACGTCACTGAAGCATAAGCCAAGTAATCAACTGAATTCAGACTTTCGCTCTCAGTAAATGAGCCGCATTCACCTATATGTAAAGAACAACTAGGATGAAGTCGCCACAAATTTTAGCAATGATCGTCGACTCGAAAGGCTTCCCAGGAAGTCTCTCTTGTCTAAGAAACCCCCAAGATGTGACGTAAACACCTAGACGAGCCGTATCCGATGATCAGAGTTCTTCAAGCAACATTAAGATGATTGACATGGTTGTCATGATGCCCTTCAAGTGCAGGGAGTTAGTCCATGCTTGCCCTTCTGGTAGCCTTGGCATGATTAGTTCAGTGAGCATGATTTTCAAGCCTTCTAAGATTGAACTTTTTACTGCGAGACTTATTTTTCCATCACGTAGAGACGGGGCCGAGGAGGAGGAGGCGACGCGTGCCATCGGTGCTTAAGCAACTCAATTATAACTTAGGATGGAGGAGGCATTTGTCCACTGCCCATAACACCGTTGACTGGTCCCCTTCATCATGAAGTGAAAAAGATTGTCTTCTAAAGTCGATCCATCTTCTTTTCCGATGCACTTCCCCACATGACTTTCATTCGGAACCGTAGTGACGTTATGGATGGCGAGTTATACATTCGAAATGTGGCCTTTCTAGGGTAGCCCAATTTGCAAGACAGTGTGTTTTCCCTATAGAGGAGTGTACATAGTGCCAATACATAAACTTGCCCCAAGGGTTGGAGGCTTCATAGGCCTGGATTAGTTAGAATATGGGATTCGATCCCAGAGTTATTTGGCACTTCATCGCTTGCGCCCTCGATTTCAATAAATTTGGCCTATTCCTTTCGCTTAATTGAATATTTTATCAGAAACATGACGGTGTAATTCAGTACACTGGCCTAATCTAGATGTAAGTTTTGGAGACATCAAACAAAAAGGCTTATGCATATACATTCATGAGAACGAGCCATTGACAATGGCATTAAGAAATGCTAGGTTATGTTCGTTATCGGATCATTCCGATTGATGGCAGTGACACTTCGAACAAGTTAATTCCTCTTCATATGTGGTAATAACGCAGAATCTGCTCTAGCCGACTTTGTTTCCTCGTCAATAGGCAATCAACCCACAAAATTCATCTGCTGACGCATAAAAATCATTTCAGATGGATCGCTGAAGCGATATAGCCACACGGAGAGGAGAGGGATGGAATACAAACTGCAAACCTTCACTATGAGGTATATCCATGCCATCTGCTACGATATCTCCGGTAGAGCAGATGACAAGATTCGCCTTTTTAAACCCTTCTCTTTCCCCGTGGAGAAACTTTCCGTTACACCTTTTAAGATGGATAGGAAGCAGTGAAAAAGTAGACGACTTGAGAGATTCTTCTACAGCGAGGGCTCTATATCCCAGCTTCAGCAGATAGAGTGGTAATTAAGTGATCGGTGCTGCTTTCCGTGCTGCACCTCAGCTACTCCCCCTCCCCCCTTTCCCTTGTCTACGACCTTCACCGAATGGAAACGGTCAGAAAACGGCCTTCTCTACCGCAGACTTCGCTCAAAAGACTTACAACTTAGTCCCTACGCCCATTGCTTTCTAATGAAGTGGCATGCGAGCAGTTTTAAATGATTTCTTAGTTAGCCGATGTCCAATTCGGTGTTTTATCCTCCAGGCTGACTCCAGTAAAAAAGTGTCGGCACAGATAGAAGGCCAGTAAGGTCGCGGTGGGTTCCAGTCCACGATTCGATCTTCAAACTGTGGGTGTGGTAGTACCACTTAGTGCCTTCCTCAAAAAAAAAAAACAGGGAAAAATATTCAGAAAATCATCCCTGTCTGGAGAACTCTGTGGAACAAAGAGACCAAAAATAGCTCGAATACACGAGGGTATTTCTGAAGAAAGCAATATGAAATCTGACAGAAAAGAATTAAGAAAGGATCCTGAAACGGGCGATAGCATTGCATGAGTTGGATTCCGAAAATTTCCAAACTCATGCATAATAAAAGGAGCCTAATGGTTCCACATACACAATAATAGACGCCCAGTGCTTGCAAGTTTTATAAAGCTGGCCGTGTTTTCCGTGGCTGCTTCAGCTTCCGGTTCCTCTTTGAGGCTGACAAAACATATGCCAAAGTGAGCTACACATCCATACGCAAAGTAGACTTCCTGGAAAAGTTACGCCCGCTGGGAACAGGTAACATTCTAGGCACTTCCTAAGGTTGAATTTCTTCGATAAGCCATACAAGGTTCCAAACGATGAACCCATTTCCCTTATGCCATGTCACTACGAGAGTTTCTCATCGCAAAGAGGAGTAGCAAGAAGAAGAACAAGTAGACATGTAGCCTCGGTCTAGGTCCTCCCTCTTTACGACGAGAGCCTCGCGTAGTCAGCCTAAGTTTCTCTAGAACTAGCAGCTGACGGTCGATAAATCAAATGGTGGTCTCCAATTCAAGAAGCTCCACCTGAATCAATGACGCTGACGGCTACGGAGGGTCTCCTCTTTCATCTGTCAAACGAGCAGCACAACTAATTGGATAATTCTCGGATAGGAAACCAAATTCCTGAATGATATCTTTCCTAAACTAGAACCCACTTATTTTCTGACAGAACTCATAGCCAGAACAACGGACTAAAATCCTTACCAGTTCGTAGCAAACCTCCAGATAACCTCCATATCAGCTTCTTCGACCATCCTTTTGGATGATCATGCAGACGAAGCCTTTACAACATCCCATATCTCGATGTGCTTTCTGAGGGCAGGTCACGGAACAGCTGCGAGACAATGGCCTTCGATGCAGCCGAGGATGTCTTTCGTCGCCACTGTTGTGCTTGCCCCTTCCTCGTAGTGAATTCGCTTCAGAACCGTGGAATAAAATGGGGTTGTGATTGTTTTGTAATGTAAACGTTTTGTAATGACTTCACACGGTTTCCCCGTATTTCTTGATCTTTCTATTCACCTTTTCATACCAACAATACCTTGGTGGGTCCCCGTAGACATTCAAGACCTCTGAAGAGCTGTAATCGAGCTAAATAGTGCTTTTTCAGACCGAACTAGTGTTCCCTTCATGAGTATAGCTCACAAAACTACCGCATAAATAGTTTGTTGTGTAGTTCGGTGTGCCGTTTTGTAATTGTGTGTGTGGCGCTACTTCACGTTATATTCGACGGCGTTTTCGTTCTACTGTACCCTTCGGGTCCGAGCTAATTTGGTCGGAATAGCACTCAATGCTCAGGAAGTATGCATATTAGTCAGCTCTGAGACCATGTCCTGCCTCATGTAATAATTCTGGCTTCAAAGAGGCTCTACGACTGTTCCCGTCTTGCCTTCAGCTAACGAACGAGCATTCCGAAGATATGGTTATCGACTTGACTATTGGGGTAGATGCAACGAGCTTCTGCCCTGAATTAGATCTATTTCTAAGTCCTTTGTCACGAATCGAAATCACTATCAAGCTGCCGAAGGTTTGCTACTTCATATTTATTGTCGTATTACATCGATCTGAAATATCCAGATTCTAGTTTACCATACCCGGTCAATCAATTTCGAACTGGGATCTAATGGAGCGCCTCAAGAAAGGTGTAGCACCTATCCAGGTAATTTTACTTATAGAACTTTCGATAACAACTATAAAGTATGCTTTAGTTTGTTTCAATCCGTGTGACAGAAAGCTCTCTTGAGGCAGTCACCCTCGACGCTGAATTGAACACAAGAAAACTTATGAAGCAGGTTTGTTCTTCTACTTGTCCTGGTGTTCATTGTCGTTCTAACCAGTGATCCTTCCCTACGGAGTTTGAAGTATCGACCATTTTCAAGGACCTAGCAAGGCTTTTTGCTGCTCTCCTTCGTTAACATTTCCTTCCCTTTTTGCCACCTAGGCGTTACATTGCATAGTGCTAGCCAAAATCGTCAATTTTCTCTTTTTAGACATAAGTTGTTTATTTATTTGTGATGTATTGACATGGTAAAAAAGCTTTGTTCCTTACGCTTTTGGGGGCATTGATTTCCTGCATGCAGTATTCTCAAGGGTCTTTTTTATGTTCTGGACAAGAGAGTTCGAGACACCCGTCAAAAAATACCAGTTCCGTTTTCTACTACGTTTTCATTTGGTTTTAATCCGTAAATTGAATTTTCTCAGCATACTGTTTTGGGTAGCACTCTAGTTAAGTTGCTTGGATGCTCTGATGTACTGAGATTTTATCGCAGTAATATAATCATGGATTTAAGGCGATCAAAATTCTGGAAACGTTGACTGTAAAAGTTAGCGGATTCAGTGATCCAGTACGTGTACGCGCAGCAGAAGCAAAATCCGATTTTCCCAGGTATTCATTCGAACCAGTACTTTTTCTCGGGAATTTTTATTCGATGTGGGTTTAATATTCAACTCACGTTGCGATTGATTTGCATGAACATTTCATTGTTCTCCAACTTCTTTGAAATAAGTCATTTCAGTCGTCATGACTGGGATTTGTTCTTCATGAAGAACCAACTTAACGAGAACAAAGTTGGCGAACGTCCAGACACAATCTATCTTGCCAAAGTACCCATAAAATGGTTTTCCGTACGTTCCAAGATACTTCTTTCTCCATTTTACAGTTGATTTGTATTTGGTTCTACTTCATATCGTTTAGGAGAAAGGCAGTGATTTACCTAGTGAAGATATTCTGAAAACTGCTATGGAATCCTTCGGAAATGTGAGAAGGGTGGACATCCCTGCTTGCGATGCTCTAAGAAAAGAAATGGATCCTGAGATCAGCGGCATCAAAACAAAAGGATTTGCATTTGGACCGGTTGGTTTGTGACCTTTTTTCAGGCAGCTTCATTCCAATTATTCTGAGGAAATCATAACACAAGACGTTCGATTTCATATTTCTATTTAACTTCTTTTCAATCACGAAGCATATTTTATTTTATTAATTGATTTATTAATTTGCTAGCTTATGTCGGATGCCTTCAATATGAATTTTGCGAAGAACTAAGTGCTCTTATTCCTAAGTAAAATTTGTTGACATTCCTTGGAAATATGTCAAGCTACTTGCTTTTTGGCTCGTATAGCATTATACCTCTAGCCTCAACCAGGTTGCTCTGTTATGTGTCATCCTGTTCCGTTGACCTTTTCTGCCAAATTAGTAAGCGTCGGTTGAGTCCTTGTTATGTATGGCTATGGTTATGTAGTTACAGGTTGAGTTCTACGTTTGTACTTAAAGTATCCGAATATTTCAACGTATGAACGCAACTGGTACGCTAATAATTTTTCTTTATTTCTCAGGAGCTATTTTTCGAAGCCTACGTCCAGTATATGGAATACAGCGGGTTCTCTGAAGCTATGGATGCCTTACGTAACAAGAAGTGGACTAAAAGAATTGATGGAAAAGTGTTTCATGCCAACGTGAAGGTCGGTTCAGCTACGCTTTGTGATTTTTCAACATCGATGCTATCAGGGTAGCATTCGTAAATTGTTGGATTGGTGAATGATGACGCGATGAATGGGTCCAATTTCATTCCCTATCCGATTGATTAGAACACAGAGATCTAAGTTATTCTGAAAAATTAGCCATATGGACCACCTTGGTGAAAGCTTTCTTTCATGGACGGCGATGGTGCGAGCGTCTAATCTCAGGTGGACTTCGATCGTACGAGGCACTTGAGTGATGCAAACATCAAGCGACGTGAAGCTGAACGGGAAAGAATCAATGCCGAGAAACGGCGTTTGATTGAGGAGGAGAAACGTCGAATGTATGCTCCTTATATTAGGACTACAATTATTGTGGTGGCATTATCGTAATTTCAGAGCTGAAAAAGAAGCCGAAGCAAGACGTATCCTAGAAGAAAAAGAGATGAGAAGGGAAGAGAGGGAAAGGAAAAGGAAAGAAAGGGTAAGATTAGTTTGAGGTTCACGTATTCGTAATCTGACGAGTAGAGCTTCTGCAGTGCGAAGCTGAACGACTCCGTAAAGAAGCCGAAAGACTCAAACAATTAGAAGAAGAACGTTTGCTCAAAGAGGCTGTTGAGGCGTTACGTCGAGCGCGTGAAGCTAGAACTGCAGAATCGAAGCGATTCCTTGAACTCATGTTTGAACATATTCAGGTAATATTTCTAGTTGGAGTCTCTACTAGGGTCTTCTTTATCGTAGCCTAATTGTTGATTCCAAAATAAGAATCCTTGTTTCATGATGTAGGTGATATTGGGCTCGATAAAAGCTGGTTCAAACTCTCTGGCAACCCTGTTTTCTAACTTTCAAAGTAATTCGATTGGCCCCGCGCCCCCATTAATCTTTGGATCTTACTCTATTTTATTATCCTTGAACAAGGGATTGATGCACCTGGACCTAATTTTGAGAAGGGTTCCTCCTGCCGTTTGTGTCCTGCTCTGAGGTGCTATATCAAAACATGTATTTGAAGCCTGCACTAAGTGCTCAGGATCACGGAAGTGCAATTACACGGGGGCGAGTTGCTAGGCAGCGTTTCTTCATCGTCTTATCGATTGAGCTCTTTAGGCGCCACCTTTGCGGGGAAGATTGGTGTATCTTTGTTAAGTTTGTTTCTTAGTGGTGACCAGGGGTTCTGATGCAATTCACTGAAATGAACGAGTAGGTGCTGATGTTATTTCATTGCAGCGAAAAGAAGATCGTCGCATGGAAGTGCAGGAAGCTCGTCTGCGAGCAGAACGTCGTGCAGCTGAATTACTGGACATCCCTATCTCAGACAAGGAGCAACGTCTTCGTGCTATGTTGCTTCATCAGCGAGAGATTCGAATCAGAGAGGAAGTAAGCATTACTTTACTGTGTAGTTACAGCCACCGTGCCAATTTTTAACTCTAATAATTTCGATTCTTTCAGTTGAAGGAGAAGATACGGCGCGTTCAAGATCAGAAAGGGGAGCAACACAGCTCTCCCGCTGATCCCAAACAAGGCAGTAGCGCAGAGAACCCTGCAGAGAGATCCTCAAGCAGCGAACCTTCAAGAGGGAGGTCGTCGTCAGAATCCAGTGATCAATCCAGTGTTAGCGTGAAGAAGCGTCGGCATAGTCGAAAGAACAAACATAAGTGCAGTGACGTGGAAGAAAGTGGTACAAAAGTGAAGAAACGTAAGCGCAAGGCAAAAGATGAAGATGGGGATTCGTCGGAAGAAGTGGAAGATAAACGTGATAATAGTGGTCGTCGAAGTAGTTCTACTAGCTCTTCTAGTGATAGTGATTCGCATCGATCTTACCGACATAGACATCGGCGTCATGACCATAAAAAGAGTAAGAAGAAGAAGAAGCGTAGTCGATAATTTATTGTTCTGTTTTAGAATTTGCGAATTTTTTTCCAAGATGGATATGTCCAAAAACTGGAATTGTGATTGCCCAATATTATGTGATCTTTATGTTGTTTCATGTTGTTTAGAGATCTTTGTTTGTTTACCATCTTCACAGTTCATCGGGTATTTTACACTTATTTGTTTTACATGATTCAAATGCTTCGTTACTACTGTGCTGGATTCTGCGAATAAATAATAATAAGCAAATCTGTCTTGATTGAGACTAAGTACCGATCGCGTTTGTAGCATGCCTCTATAAAACGTCGAACTCAGCCTCTATCTTGCATAGTTTCAATGGATAAGTGTAATTTCAAGTCGAATTGCCGTAAGTGAGAGACCCTTCAATACATGGGATATAGGTGTTCATTAATTTCCGTGAACTCGGTCAAATGGGGGTGTGTTGAAAATTCAGAATTTTGTGGGGAAATAATGAGTCCGAAATGGTTGGCCTTTCTTGTGGGTGAAGAGGCCTGCATCATTTTATGATGGGACTTAGGCAAAGCAATTCAGGTGGACGAGTAGAACACCGTTTGAAGTTGATGAGAAGTCTGATCATTCAGAGTTTCAGTTCATTATGTGGTTTTTAGTTTTTTGATTTGGACGTCGTAGCTGAAAATAATGCTTGCAACAAGTAAAATATCGCAACGACTGGGCGAGGCCGACGAGCGAGCTGTCATTCTTGGGATTCTTGCAGATGCAAAGCAGGTACATTTCAATTCTGGATCCATTTCATCTTGAATACTGGCCCTGCTACCGCAAGGTCAACCAGCTGCCAACCACTTCGTGTATTGCCTTAGGCTGTTTGTTGCTACAACGACGAGATCATCCACGGATGTTTCTTTTTCATTGAGATCCTCTTTCCTTCCTCATCTTTTGTGATCGCCCTCTCTCCTCCTATTTCCATCTTCATTAACGTTTCTGTATGTTGCCAAAGACGGCAGACACTCGCTCCAGGGAGGGTGGCTTCAGATGCTTGAACTAGCTGATTAGACACCTGCGCAAGAAGTTGACGATTCTGTGATCAGCATCGCGGTTGCCCTTGCTGCCAGGAGTCTTAATATGGCTGTCTTTCTGACCGTTTTGATCGTTTTCTGAACCGCCACAAAGTTTTGAAGACTTCTGGCAACAATCAATCTCATTTGGTATGCGCCCCGCATTTGAATTCCATTCATTATCGCAGTAGCGTTAAAATGCGTAGGTGGCTTATACAAGGTCTTGCGATGGTCAGCTGTTTTTCAAGTCTTTGCATTCATCATACGAGGCAGATCTTCTGTCAATTAACTGGTCCAGGAGCAAGGTAAGGCTCGATTGACCTGGGCTTTAATCTATGTGGGATCCGATCCCATGTTCATGCGTGTAGTAGCGGGTCTCTCGATTCTTCTCCACCTCTGTCTGATGTGAACTCTGTTTTTTTTTTCAGGAAATCCAATGGGACAAAGACTGTTCATCAATACTGGAAGGCATTATTCGTAATATCAACAAGATCGTCAAATATCTCACACAGAATGAGGTTTGATTTCTGTTCCTATTTAAAATGTAAATTTTTAAAACATCGATTAACAGATTTTTGAAGGTTTCGGAATTGACAACGAGTTCCATGGATTTCCATTAGTATTGCACTTTTGCTTTGACAACTGAGCTGGACTTCTACATATAGAAGTGAACTCGTAAGCGTTCATACCACAGACCCAGACCCTCCTCGTCTTACAATTACAGACCGAACTCGCTTTTGTACAGACTGAGTAAGGTTGACGTATAGGAAGCGAATGGCTAATAGCATAGTCAGGGATGCAAGGATAGGAATAATCCTATCGGGCTCAGTCAATCTCGGTTGAGACGAGCTCTCGCGTCCGACTTTCCTCCGATGTCGTATTAGCCTGTACCTTCTTCCGGGCCTAGGCGACAGTACAGTCAGCGCCAAACTACTCTGGTGCGATCGACCCATAGGAGCAGTGTCCCACTGGGAGATGATTTCTACATACGTCGTGTAGTACGTCACTTTTCATGCCCACTTCTTCACTTTTTCGCTAAAGTGGGCGATGTAAATTTCCTTTACATAAAATGCTTTCTGATACTAGGTGCTCGGCATTAGATGAAGGACTATCTGGAGAAGATGGCTTGTCTTCTTTGTGGCCTTGCAAGACGTGAATATATATGAATAGTAGAGGGCCCTGTCGGCTGCGGAAAGGGATGAGCGTACGATAAAAGTCCCGGTGACCTTACCAAAAATACTTGATTGAATTCCAAATCATCTTCGAAATTCAAAAATGTAAGGTTGTTGGTGAATGCTTTGTAGTTTTTTTCTGTGACCACGTTCAATATATATTATCAGGGGGTCTGGTGTCTTTTCCCCGAACGGCGTGTCGTGCTCGCCGCACGCGATCGGGGAGAGGATGCCAGACCCCCTGATGATATACGCTAATTGAACGTTTCCCTGCATTCAGAAGGGAAAGATTCGAATCCACAGAGGAAGGATACGGAGAGTCGCCGAGGACTCACTGCCGCAGGCCGTGGGAACTCTGGGAGATGTTCAGTCACCCATTATCAGGGAATATAATTTACGGAGTTCGAACACCACTCGGACTTTTCCATAACTTTCTGCCACAATGAGCTGGTTGGTAAGATATCAACGCGGTCGGTTTACGCTCTATTCCCTATATTACGGTTTAGGTTGAGAAGCAGCTGAAGCTCACGCCAATCCTGTAAACGTACAGCGATGAGGTATGGTCCTGCAACATACATGCGTGACGTGGTTCGCCAAATTAAGGAGTGACGATTACTTGCTGGCTGATTCGGGCCGATCTTGTTTGCTAATCGAGGCGAATATCGATGACATAACTGACGCGGTGGAGTGGAACTTGTGTGTTACCAACAGAGTGATCACTACCACACCCCCTTTTACCTATTTAAAAGTGTGCAAAAACCGAAAATGATCGGCGAGGTCTGGTTACAATGGAGGATGGATACCTTACGAGCAAACACTTTCCCACTTCGAGGGAGGACGAACACATTCTTCCTCTTCGTCGCATACGCCGAGACTTACTGTTTCCGAAACGCTCATCTCTGGAGGTGAAACAAAGAGTCGCGTATGAAGTGCTGCGAGAAGAAGGTAGTGTCTGGATCAGCACAGGGAACATAAGTCGGTTGCGAAGTCACACCTGGCATCCCGGAAGGTTGGTACTCTCTTGTTGATGATCTAGGTGTTGATCGAGGACTGGAAGCTCTTACTAAACAGGCAAGATATAGAAACTCACGCCTATGTTGCTCAACTTCAAAGTTTCAAAGCTCATACCGACCAAACTCGCGGAGAGCTGTGCGAAGTTGCTTTTAGCCCGACACCATCAAACCGCACTTATCGAAATTGCCGCAGAACGGGCTTGAAGGTTGCAGATGTTCGGTAGTGTCCCAGTCTGCTTATAGCCCACACGTCCCTTTCCCCCGGTTGACTAACCGTTTAGTCATGTCGGAAGTCACCTGGGTCACAACAAGTCCAAGACAGAGAACGACGTCAGGAAGGCATAAGGTACCTTCTTCGAAGCTCAGCTTCTACACTTCTTAACGGTAAGGAACAACAAGCCTCCCGAACGTTCCTGTCAAGTGATGGCTAGGAACGATACATACCTTCACCTCTTGGCCTGCTATTCCCAAAAATTCGCAATAAAGAGATGTTAGAAAAGTTAAAAATGTCTATACGACGACTAAATGGATGGGTGAACGTTAAAAGCCTGTTTATTAGAGAGCTGAAGAAACTTCTCAAAAGGGCTGGGCCTACACGGAATTGGGGCTACTTGTTGAACATTTCATAGTCACCAAAAAACTTGAAATCACTTCCAAAGATGATCTACATGCAAAAAAAGGAACGTGTACTAACTTGGGTGGTGCTCACTACAAAAGTCCAAAGTTCGATTCCCGACGACCATTAAGACCAGGGAAATTCGTGAGGGTTGAGTAGTACTCGTGAGCTAGAAGCGGGGTCAGTGAGAAATATAAGCTATGCTTGGTGCTGACGCATAGCCACAGCAATTTCTATGTAGAATATAGAACCTTTATTAAGGTTTCCTCCTGTGTTGATATCTGCTTCACAACTGCCAATCCTCTGCACGCAATTCCGGTACTGGTATCTGCATTGTCATCTCCTGATGTTGTTGATCGCATCATTTACTGGCTGACATTGTCAATGCGGGAACATCTTGACGATACCCTGAAGGATAGCATAAAAACAGGAATAGACGGTACCGTTACCGAAATTTTTACTGAAACCTTCGAAGGAATGGCTTAATTGAATTGAGTCCTTTTTCCAGATTTCCTTTATAACACCTATTCCGAATTTGTCACATCCATTGTGTTTCTTCGAGAAAAATTACTTAATGCAACAAACAGGAACAAAGGACAGTTTAAGACACCTGAAAGTCTTCGTATCATTGAGGTGAGTTCAGTTCGAGGCGATCCGCAAGAACAAAACAGGGAGGGAACAACAGAGCATTTCGTATGTCACATTTATTTGGTGTAGTCGCCGTAGGTCTAGCGCCTGAGTGCGGCTTCATACTATAGAACATAGAACAGGATTCCAGAAAGTCTTGGGGAAAGTACAACCGGATCCCATCTAGTACGGTGCTTTTGCTTTTTTTAAAAAGGTATCAAAACAGCACCAAAAAGGCATTAAACGGAATGCCCATTCGATATTACTGAAGCTGAGGGATCTTGTAAAGGGATATATGTTCGTGAATCGAACAGAATGGGAAGAAGGAGGTGGGGGAGAGGGATGAATCCTCTTAACTACCTATAGGTTCGAATGAACCACTACATTGTACCGGAGAAGCATTATGGCCTGTAGTATACACGAGGATGACGATAGCTTGTTCAGCTAGGGTCTTGATGAATTGGCCTTCTTCACAACCTCTTCAGAACCGCTTACCCACATCAAAGAAGTGACGGCGGGCTTTGAGCTGGAGTATCACCGGTTCGGAGTCTGCTATCTTTTCTCTGATTCCGTAATCGGGGGTGAGGAGGGGGAGGGAGAGCGGTGG